AGTATATGGAAATGTGTGTGCAAACACACACACACACACACATACACACACACACACACACACTCCAAAGGACCTATACCCTAAAATCTGAGCCCTCTTCTGTCAATTCTGAGTATAGATTAGCTATATTATTCTGGAAAATTCTAATTTAAAATTTTGTGTCATAATCACTAGAGGAAGCGGGAAGCTCTGACTCCCCGAGGCTGGATTTGGAGCTGTGCTAAGCACTGTCACAGGCTGGGGACCTGCCCTACCAGGGGCTGAACACCTGATATGATAGTGCCCTGTCCATCCACTGTCTGTTGTAGATGCCTTAAGATAGGATCTCTACATTCTTAATATTTGATTCCCCTACTAAACACAAAACTCTTTTTCCCTCTAGAACTAAAAATTCCATTTCTTTGAAAACAAAAAGTGCTTTATTGGAAGTAGGATGGTAAGGCAATTAATAAGAGGTTTGTTAGGAGTTAGGAAGATAAAATTAGCATGGTTTCCTACATACATTGTTCTCATCTTCAAAGTGTAAGTTTACTCTATAAGACCTTCAAACACTTGGAACATTTTGGTTGCATATTTGATAGATGAAGCTAATTTCTCATGGAAATAGAGGAAGTCAGGTCAAAAAAAGTAAATTAAATCTTCATCAGTGGTGGTCACCAGTCATTTCCATCACACAGAAGTAAATATAGCTCAGTCCTTCCCACGGTCACATCACGTAAGTTTTTAAAAAGGGCATGTTATTTAAGTGGATGGTCTTATGTTTAAAATATACATATTGAAACTATTTAAAATTTTAAGTTTAAAATTGTTATCATATTAATTTAAAACTTTAATTGAATTGAATTTTTAAATTTATAATAACAAAAATATTTAAAATTTTTCAATATTAAAAATAATCCATTCTTGTCATTTGAAAATGGGCAAATACTTTTTTTTAACCCCTAGGTCACACATCACCTTGAATGTCACCATGTAGCGTACACACAGACATATATGCTCCCATTTATGTATGACTGTCCAGGTGTGACTATGGGTGCCTGCTCTAATGTGTGCATGAGAAGAAATGAGGGGAGATGCAAGAGGGAGGAGCATAAATAAACTTAAACCATTACAACCCATAACAGGCACCTCGTATTGTCCCCAAATCCATGGGGTGTCCTTAAAATTCATAACTGAGGAAGAGTTCCCAAATAGAATGAAGAAAGACTTGTGGAAAAATCCTAAGAAGTTATCAACGTTTAGGCATCTTCTTAAAAATGCCTATAGTACAGACATATGAGCAAGTTTTCATGTTAATAACTCTCTAGATTATCTGCAGCTCAATTTATTGTGACAGCCCCAACAATTCTGGAGATAGAATATGATAGACATAGTTCTAATATTATTGACATCCATCCAATCGTGGCTCTTCCTTTGAAATTAGTAGGAAGACCCATCGACACATCAGCTATTCATTAGCTCATAAAAATGCACTGCACAAACTTGGTGCACTGGTGGGAATGACCCAGACCCTCTCCTTCTGCTTCCTCCTTCCCAACTTGTTTCAATTTTTCTTCAACTGCTTTTCTTCTGATCTTAGTCTGGCTGGGATCTCCTGTTTGCATTATGCCATCCTATCCCAATTTTTGGACACTCGCTGATCTTCAAAGTATGTATAACTGAGTGTTCTGCCCTGACTGAGTCAGGGCAGCCAGTGATTGCAGACTCTACCTTAGTCACAGGTGGTTCCGAACTGACCACACTGGGTCCTCTCTCTCAGTCCCACCTCCCTGATGACTGCCTCAAATCCAAGTTCACCAGACCGGCAGGAAAACTTGTTCTGCTGATTTATGGAAGTGAGTTCTCAGCTCTGTTCTCATTAGATCTGGCATCATTTTGAACAAACCTGAATGTCTAGGCTTCATTATGTGAAAACTGTTCGAAGTACTGTAATAAGGAATGAGAAAGACATGATTTATGACCCTCCACATTTAGGAGATTTAATCCTGCTTTTTGCTCAATGGCTTATCCATTGTGTGAGCAAAGTCAATACCAATAATGAAATGTAGACTGGAGAGCTAAATCAATGGAATAAAATGCAATAGAAAAACTAGAAGACTGGGTAAATGTAAAAGGCTAGAGCCTGCAAGATTAGTATTTGGACAACAGGTAATTTCAAAATTCAATACCTGTGTATGAAAACATGACTGGCAGTCATCTGTCACAAACAGAGGACTATTCCTAATGATTCGGGCCCCGAGTTAGGATGAGAGAACAGAATAGGTCTATGGAAAATGACACATCTCTATGCATGTGCATAAGGAAAACACATGTGCACTCCTTGTGTGACTGAAGGAGAAAGGGAAACTCCAGATGACTTATTTTGTATTTTATTTAGGTCCTTTACACATTTCCTGTTCCTTTGGATTTTACTAACTTCCATCTCACTTTGTCAACTTGGTATCAGCCTATATCACCCTTTTCTTTATTCTCATCCTAGGCTCCCAGGTGCCAGGGAAACATTATCATGAGGTCCTGGCAGTGTTTGGAGCTTGTCAGTTTGCATACATTAAGTTACTTAGTCCCTACAAAGACTCTACAATGGCGGTAGCAGCAGCTCTCTTTTAAAGATTAAAAAAGGGGGTAGGGGGCGCTTGCAAGGTCATAAATCATATCTGTCTCATTCCTTATTACAGAACTTTATACATTGTTCACATAACGAAGCCTAGAAATTCAGTTTTGTTCAAAATTATGTCCGATCATATAAAAACAAAGCTGAGAATTCACTTCCATAAATCAGCATACCAAAGCCCTGTCCCTAGGTTTTCCTACTGGTCCAGTGAACTTGGATTTGAGGCTGCTTGTTTCAGGAGACACAGCTGGTGAGCAGGGAAGTGCCATCGGAAGATGCATCTGTTGACACTGATGTGTGTGTTGGTCACTGCTTCATTGCACCGCCTCTTGTCCACCCTAGGGCCTTGGGGTGCTTCTGCTGTGGCCACCCATGTCTACAGCCAGCTGCCAGGCTTCACTGCCACTGAGAGGCTTCAAGGCCAGTCCATGGATCATACAGCCGAGACAGCCAGATCAGTGACTGTGAACTGCCCAGGCCACGATGTCTGTATTTCCTGACAGCATGACTCCTTGTAATAGAGTCGGACTCCAATTTTTGATGTTTTGCTTCTGACAGCTTTTCAGCCTCACTCTCCCTCTGCCCCTCTGTCCATATCTGAGCAAGCTGATAAGAGAGCTCGGTATTTTCTCCAAAATTCTTGGTTATAACACAAAGCATCAGAAGAGACTTCAAACTCAGCAAGTCCCTGTCCACATGTGGGAACCTCACCCTGCTCACCCTCCACCCCCTATAACTACCAGGAAATCCTGAGCCAGCCTCCTTTCTTCCTCTCAGAAGCCTAATGGGTCCTGCTTGGGAGCCACACTGCTCACCCCATGAAGCCTCATTATGTGAATAACTCACCTCGTGGTATGTGTGTCCTCTCATTGGTCTTGACGTGAGACCAAATTTCAAGATGGAGGGCATCGTGCTTTGGGGGTGGGGGGTAACACATACTCCTGAACTAGCTTTATATCAACAATGGAATGAAATACTTTCATGACCCTTAGAGAAACCCTCAAAGTTGTAATCTTCAAAAAATGATGGTATGTGGTCCCTTAAGCAGAAATCTGTCCTTCATTTTGAATGGCCATTTTTTAAAAATTAAAAACAGAGAAAGATTAAGATGACTTCCATTTGGCACACATAAGCTTAATTTATTTGTAGGACAGTTCAATAGGTGGCGTGTTTTGGCATTTTTAAGTTATCTTAGATGGACACTACTTTTCTTTATCTCAACTTTGGTACTGCTGGCCATGGGATCTGAATAATTCTCTGTGGTGGGTGCTGTCCTGTGTATTGTGAATGCCTTGAAGCATCCCTGGCTGAGATGCTAATGGCACCACCACAACCCTCTCCAATGGTGACAATAAAAAAATGGCTCTTGATGTTGTCAAATGTCCCTTGGGCGATAACACACCTGGTTGATAACCATTGCTCTGTATTTATTCCACAATTGACTGTCCTGATAAGACTGAGCATGGATCAAGTTCTTTGAGTCCCAGCGGAAGAGTCAGAAAAAAATGAAAAGCTGCTAGGCTATATATATCCAATGCAAGCAAGCAAAACCTATAATAAATTGCAATTCTGTCTTCAAATTTCTTTCCTCTCTTAAACTAATTTAGACTCACCCTAAAAATTGCTTACATGCTATAGATGCAAGAAATTACATTCATAATTTACAAAATCTTTATTTTAAATGATTATTCAGCTGCTTATATGCAAATACTTGCCCCTCATCTAAAAAATCAGAGTTAGCTCTGCTGACCACCATGATTTTCCTGAAATATCACACACCATAATTTATACACTTTAACGTATTTCTGAATTACAAAGCATGCTGACAATTGTTTATATGATGGCCACAGACATTAGTCTCCTTAATGGAACACATATGTGTATTATATCTGCTGGTACTTTTGTGAATGGCTCAAAATTCTTGGTTATAACACAAAGCTGGTTTATTGCCTAAAGTTCCCATCCTATTAATGAGTTTTCCAGGGAGGACAGATGATAACATAGACTGAGTGTCGTGATCTTGTTGAAAATTGAGGAGCGAACATGCTTTTTATTTTTGTAGGATTTAAAGGCAGAAACAACTCCAGAGATGGAATTGGGAAGAGAAAGGCAAATCACACCCAAAATACAGCGGTTGACAATCTTACCTTTCTTAACACTAACACATGTATCCTTGCTCCTCTACTTCCCAGTATTCAGATATTAAAACAGAAGTGCGAATGGTAGGCAGGCCAATTAATTAAATGAAAAGTGCTATGTTTCAGTCTTTTAAATGGGTCAAAGTTTTCAAGCTTCACTTTTCTTATTTCTTTCCCATTGTAATGTTATTCTAAAAGCCTCACTGATGATGCTCCTGGCACTGGTCATTGGAGAAACCAGTAGCGCTTACCTCAGCTTTAATTTTATTGTCTCCAAAGCAGAGATGCTGTAAATAGGCTGCAGCATTGGACTGGACCGAAGGAAACTGGTGCTGCAACATCTGAATCACTTCAGGCAGCTCCGGGTCTCTCCATCCAAATTCTCTGAACAGAAGGAAGCAGGAGAACATGAGCGAGGAATCCTGCCACACTGTCCACACTCAGTTACCTTCACAGTTACAGGAATATTTCACAAACAACTGTCCTGGTTTTCTTACACATGAACCCACTTAAGAAGACTTCCTTAAATAAATGGTTTGTATATATATAAACCGTTTTACACATATACTATCTTACATGTGTGTGTCTACATACACTATCATACATGTGTCAACTAAAGTTATATGTGTATGAAGACTGTGGAAAAAATGACTTAAAATAGCATCTGATTTTGTTATTATATACCTTTTGAATTTGGGCTTAACAGGATAATTTACAAGGTCACATGTATTTTCTAATATAGTATTTCAACAGTCTGATTCCAGTACAGCGTTTAGCTAAATTATCAGACAAGAAGAAATGTAACTGAATGGGTACAATCCACAGTGTCATAACAGCAGTTAATGTCATCATTATTTTTATGGTTATCATTATTGCTAATGCCTCTTCTTTAAAATGATTCTCTGAGGATACATGTGTATCAACAAGAAGGAAATTATTTATTTAAAGAGCTGAGATTAGTCATACGACGTTAACACATTTAATGCATTGTACATTCTTTTTCTGTATTCTTCTCTTTATATCTTAGATACTCCACGAAGCTGATTGTTTATATAATTCTAAGAAAAATGCCCTAAGATATTTAAATCCATTCTAAACCATAAGGTTGATTGCACCATTAAACAAATATTTTTCTAAAGTCAGTCAGTTCCACCAATTATAATATCAAGCTAAGAGGGCCAACTATTTGGATTCTATTCATCTAACAGGAAGCCATTTTTTTTTTTTTAAACAGAGAAATAAAAAAGCAACCTCTGAGACCACAGATAAAAACTTGACCCCAGGAGCCACAAAAGTGTCCTATTTATCTGAAGGATGGGGAGGAAGAGAAACGAGAAGGCTTTGCAACAACCACTCTACTTCTGGATAAACGGCTCAAAAGCGTACATCCTGCTGATGCCAGGTCAGGGCTGCCATCTGAGAATAAGTATCATGAAAAATGAGAGAGAGAAAGGAGCAGACAGAGGTTAAAAGTTTCCTCGTAGATTCTAACCTGTTCTCTTTATCTTTCCTTTATCACAACTGGGAGAGGTTGTCAAGCATATCTTGGAACCCGTTGGTGTTTCCCTTACAGCTACTGAAGACACTATGGAACAGGAGTCCTTTTGAACTGGCTTAGTTTATTCTTATTGGAAAGATAAAACATTCAATTTAATATGCAGTGAGCATTTAATAAGTTTCCCTGAAATGTTAGGCGCACACACATTTTCAAAAGGACACATATAGTACAGTAATGCTTCTGCTACAAAACATAATTAAATGATTGCTGATAATGGACAAACTATTGACGTTTTCTTGGCGATGTGATCACAGTGGAGAACAATTATGGATTAAAACACAGGAAGCTTATTTTTCTTTTTAATTTAATTTCCTTTTGTTGCATGACTCTAAACCACTTCTGCAACATCGAGATAGCACAGTCCCTCTTCTTTTAATAGCAGCCTCCTAAAATTACATTCTTGTACACTTTTTAAAAAATCTACAGAATACCTGTAAATGAAAATGTGAAGTGCCATGTAAAGACACTAGATGGCTAGGATAAATTCAGGCAGGCTTGTGCCATTGGGAAGTGATTAGTAAAAAATTCATTTCAGCCTGTTTTATTAACCAGGTGGTAATGGTTCTATTATGCTTACATGGCATACATCAAGAACACCTTTGGAGCAAGATCTCTAGGGGAACAGTCTTAGGGACTCCCTGCTTACATCCATGAAAATATGCTTGTGTGAATGTATACACACACACACACCCCAAATTCAGAATAGATGGATACCCCAAAGAATCAAAGGAAGGACCCAAGTTCCTGCATCACAGGTAAAAAGAAAGGCTCTCCTGAACACAGACA